AAATCATCTTTAAAGTTGTCCAAATGAAGTTCTTAGCAATGCATATTACTAATCAAAATTTAAGTTTTAATATATTTACAGTAGGAAATGTACAAAATATCTTCATGGAACATGATCTTTACTTAATATCCTAATGATTTTTGGCATAAAAGAAAAATCGTTAATTTTGACCCATACACTGTATTTTTGGCTATTGCTACAAATATACCCTAGCGACTTAAGACTGGTTTTGTGCTCCAGGGTCACATTTGTCAACAGATTCCTCCATTTGTTTTTGTTTTTTTTCCCAGTTTGCTATGCCAAAAACTTTGGTCCAAAGGGGCGTGGCCTGGGGAACCTGGGTGTGGTTGAGGACAATGAATAACAAGCTTAGACCAACCCAATGCAGCCGCTTTTTCCACTGCACACAACAACCGAATATGTCTGTCAGAATTTGCCCCTTAGTGGCAGTCCTGATGAATTTTTTTGCATGTTCAGAAAAGGAGCGCAATAGCAAGAGCATTTAACCTCTAAAACATTCACCATGGTGGAATAAATAAAAGTGTGCAAAAATTAAATTATTAATTAATGAATTAACTAAATGAACAATGTATTTCTTCTTTAGCAATAACTATGCATTATGACAAGTTTTAATGCATTCATAGCTCAATTTGGATCTGAAAATTCCACATTTTCCATAGAAAATGAATGGCTAATGGTCTATCAAACGCTATTTGTTGTGTGCAGTGAAAAGCCAGCTTTATACTTCAAGCTGAAGTGTGTCAGTTCCAAACAGAATAAAAGAACAAAAGAAAAGAAAACCCCCCAAAACTCACACCATTGGTTGAACCAATGTTCCTGTGTGTGGACTTTGTGGTTAAGCAGTATAATGTTGTGATGGTGCAAAATGTTAAAGGGGTCATATTATGCTTTTTTAAAGATCATTATTTGGTGTATACACTAACACTAACTGTGGTTACTGAAACCACGCCTTCTTTCTTTGCGTGCACATTTGGGCGGCATTATGCAAATATTTCCACATAGTGAGGTAGATATGTGGGGGCGTGTTAGAATGAGCCGTTTTAGGGGGGCGTGGCAGAGTCTTAACTTTGATAAAGAATATCTCTTTGGTTTTGAGACTTTAGTCTTTGCAACTTCAGGGATCTTATCTATGCACAATCAGCTTGTAACACTCCAAAGAGAAAGGAAAACTTGAAATCGCATCATATGACCCCTTTAACACTTTTTGAGAACCTCAACCAACCAATTGCTGACTTATCTCTTCATGATAAGTTGGGAAAGGGGAAAATATTTTAATTACACACTTCAGCTTTAGACGTGATCTTATGTTGATGCTATGCAGCATAAAAGAAATGTATTACAATTATATGAATCCTAACTACTGTAACTGTATATCACATGTCATAGCATAAAAACATAAATAAAGAGTAAATAAAGGATAAAATATGTGTCATTCAACATTGATTCAAAGACGACCTGTAACTAGTAAAATTGTTTTACAGACATAAATTCAGCATATTAGAATGATTTCTGAAGGATCATGTGACACAAGACTGGAGTAGTGGCTGCTGAAAATTCAGCTTTGCATCACAGGAATACATTATTTTATAAAATTAATAGAATAGAAAACAGTTATTGTAAATTGAAATAATATTTCACAGTAATTCAGTTTTTACTGCATTTTTGATCAAGTAAATGCAGCACTTGTGAGCATAAGAGATATATCTCCGAAACTTTTGCACTTCACTATTTGATAATAGTGGCTGTAATGCAAGTTACTCAATATTAACTATTAATCAATAAAAAAACTTTTTTTTGTTGTTACCTAGGTTTTGTATTTTGTTAGATCTTTGTTAGACCTAGAGAAACACTCTGACCAGCAAATTACAAAAGTGGTCTGATTTATTCCAAAGCACAGAGCAGGATTCAAGAACAGCACTTTTCCCTTATAATGACATACTGCACAATAAAGTATAATGAATAGAATTGAGAATTGCAGTAAAGAGCAAGCTGATGCTATCAGACATGGCCCTGTACTACACAGTGGTTATTAAAGGCATAAATAAAAGAACAACTGCCTTTGAAAACATTACTGATTAAAGGCAACGATACTAATAGCTAATAAAATATATTAAATTATATGAATCGTTCTGCATGTATAATGCTATAAATGCTGTGGTTGTAATGCATCTGACCGTAGCGTAAAGTCATTTCAAATGCATTTTGACTCATCAAGGGATTTACGGTTCTCAAAATGACAAGAAATCAGATTTTCAGCATGTGTTCAATATCAGCTACTAAATTTGCTATTTTTGTAGAAATAAAACTGCTCTGATTTACGAATCTTTTCATAAAGAGCATACATATAGTGGTCACTTTCTGTAAAAGGACTTGGGAGTAAAACCCAAAACGTGATCTTACCGTACCTTACAAAATATTTCTGTTCAAAATATATCCGTATGCTTATAAACATGTATTCGTCCTTATGTACAACTTAAGCTGTAAGGCAAAATCTAACCTTGAACGCACAGCACATATATACTATATTTCGCTCAAATAGAAAAGGTGGATGTTCTTGCAAATAGAACAAATGATTATCCAAATTAGCATTCAGTCTGTTCTTCATTTCCATCACTAAAAAGGCATTAAAAAACCAATGGCGCCATAACTGGGGACGTCGCTCTCCCTGAGTGGGTGACTGATCGCTGGGGGTCAAACAGCATCGGGGCCGCTGAACATGGGATGGTCTCTGCTGAGACCCATGGGATGCTGTTGAGTCCAGTCCAGCACCATGGGCTTACAGAGACCACAGCAACGCCATTGGAAGAAGTTCACCAGGTTCCTCACCACTCCAAGACTATGAGAGAAGAAACAACATTCAAAAATAAGAACTTTATGAGTGTCATTAACCCTAAACTAGTGAAAACAGCCTTACTTGAATGGGTTTTGTCTGAGAGAGAAGGCTTGAGGGAGTTTTCTCTGTCTTTGCATCAGGTTCGCTCTCTCGGCCGTCGTCAGCCCGAGGAACGCGATCTGTGAAGAAACAAAGCAAACTATTGAAGACTCTGTGCACACATTTGTGACCCTGGACCACAAAACCAGTCTTAAAGGCAGGGTATGTGATTTTTCAAAAACACTTTAGAAAACTGATTCGGGCCGAATAGCAAAACAAACTTGTAGCCAATCAGCAATAAGGAGCGTGTCTACTCGTGATGTGGAGGAGAGAGCTTTCAGTGCATGGGACGGACATTAGCCGAGCCGAGCGACAGAAAGATAGAGATGGCGGATAAAAAACAAAAGAGGAAAACGTCTGCGGAAAGATAAGGCAAGAAGTAGGACCCGTGTAAATATCGGATCAGCTTTCCAGCGCTGGAGAGAACTCAAGGAGCGGAGAGGCCTGCGATAGGACGCCGAGGTTGCTTTGTTTCTTCTCAATAGGTGAGTAACACCGTGTCTACAACAGCTAAAGTCTGACTACACTGGACGCGATCAAACGACCGTTGAAAACCATTTGAAATGTATGTCAGCACGTCATAAATAGAACCCGGCAGCAGTTTTCTGTCGGGATTTGTTGCGCCGCGCCACTCACGTCCGTAGACACGGTGTAACATTGGTTTTGCTTTGTTTCACAGAACTAATCGTTGCCTGGGTTGCGTACGTATATGTGGGGCGGAGCTATCAAAATAGGGGCAAGACCCTTTTGGGGTAGGGCCGTGTTTGTTTTGGTGTTTTCAAATATCAACATTGGCTACCAGAAATCACCAGAAATAAATGATATTTATTAACAAAATCACAGCACAAGATAGGTGAGGAAGGAACACAGTCCAAACAATAGGGCAGCTTGGTAAGAGCACACAACTGGAGAACAGGTTGGTCAGAGTTAAGACAGTTCCAGACTTCGCAGCCACGGGGCAGCAGCTTAAGGAAGCAGAGGCTTGACACGTGTAGATATCACAGAAGCACCAGAGTTGGCGGCCAGGTCAGGAGAGTCAGCAACCAGGAGAGACACAGAGAGCAGGGCAGGGTAGGAACCAACACAACAAGACAAGACTGCACACAAGACAACAGGAGAGACAAAAACAAGGGCAACAAAAAAACTGGGAAAACACAAAAAACTATGGAAAAATCAAATAACTAAAATAGAAAAAGAACAAAAGATATAAACAAAATAGAAGTTCTATAGATAACCTAAACTAGCTACAAAGGGAAAAGCAAAAAATACAAAGGATAAAAACTTTAACTTGACAAGATCAAGAACCTAAGAGGACCTACATAGCCTAATATGCGCTCAAGCGCACGAATAAAGCTTGCCACAGTGCACCGGCAGAAGTAATGGTTATGAATGTGTCAGTGAAAAACAGTAAGGAGACTGCATTAACAGTCTCTGCATTAACGTGTTTTCGGTTTAAGAGATGAATTGGGCGACACTGACTCGTCATCTCCGCAGTACTGCAGCGCCTGTCTGCATGTTTCATACGGATTACATAATCTGAGAATATTTGTTTTCCATTTGAATTGGTT